TTCTTTTAAACTGGGAGATACGCTAATATCCCACATAACAGAAGACTATGTTGTGTTTGTAATGCTGGGTATGTGGAGGACGAGTAAAATATTTTGTTAGTTTTTCTTAATTAATATCAAGTATCACTTATCAAATAAACTTTGTGTACGTCCGACCAAACATAAATTTAATATTCTTATGTCTATAACTTATGTCTATAAATTTATTGAACATCTTGTAATTTATGTGTATCAAGCGATGTCACGTACATTATTGTCAGTATTATAAATATCTATGTACATCCGGTCGATTGTAATACAAATATAATCATGGACTGATGGTCTGCACTAACGAAATAAACTCAATTGACAACTGTCCAACCTCCTTTACAAAAAAATACGACAGCGTTACCATTCATATCTGACCATCTCCCACTCACTCACTCACTCACTCACTCACTCACTCACTCACCCCTTGACAACTTCATCTGTACCCATGATCCGAGAATAAAGTCAAACTTAAAGGTAGTCATCGATCGATCCATCCATCCAAGAACCCTTTAATCCCCAAACGAGGCAAATATTATCCTGCTCTTTTAAAATCTCAGTGTTTTTGTACACATAACTAGTAGTTACAAAGCGGGTGCCGTGTACAGAAGGGAATTCCATTAAGGTCACGTGTTACCTTATGTCTTCCCGCCTTTGAGTATCGCTCGATGGATTCCTTTAATAGCACCATGGTGAACACCAAACAAAGAACAATAAAGAATAGCTCACATTTATCAGGTTTACAATAAACGAAACCACTAAAAGGCGACATACCGTATACGTATAATACATTTGTACCTCTAACCAAGGACGAAACATAATAATCCATGTTATGTTTTAATGTGTACTGTGTCCATCAAATATAGGGCTCCAACGATTCATCATAACATCGCTATTTTCTGCAGCAATACCATCGCATCGTGAGGCCATGTCAGACGCTTTTGTGAAATGTGTTTGGTTTAACATGGATTCTATCGAAAAGGTCTAAAGTAATCGCTTAATTAATTAATCGCAAGTTAATGTGTGTGTGTTTGTTTGTATATGTGTAAATGTGTATGTGTCTGTCTGTGTGAGTGTAAGAGTGAGTGAGTGTGTGTGTATGTGTGTGTTTAAGTGAGTTAATGTGTGTGTGTGTGTGTTTGTTTGTATGTGTGTGAATGTGTATGTGTCTGTCTGAGTGTAAGAGTGAGTGTGTGTATGTGTGTTTGAGTGAGTTAATGTGTGTGTTTGTTTGTATGTGTGTTTGTGTGAGTGTTTGTGAGTGTGTGTGTGTGTGTGCGTGCGTGCGTTCGTGCATGCGTGCGTGCGTGTGTGTGTGTGTGTGTGTGTGTCCACCAACAACTGTGAATAAGTAGAAACCAAACCAAACCATCTTTAGTTAACCTGGTTCAAATTATTCAACAAGCGATTACTTTAGACCTTTTGGGTATATATATTCGTAAGTGTTTATGTTTGTGCAAGTGTTGTTCTCAAGTATATCAAAAAATAAATTGACAGTTACTTTGTATAAATACAAATACATATATTATTGTCTTTTATGACCATTAGGGAGGCTCATAGATAGAAAAATAATTATTCGTGGTTATGGTTTTTTTCCTCTCTAAAAACCATAATGTGTGGCATTTCAGACAATGTCACACAAAAACACAAAAATAACAAACATTTTCTTCCTTTTTTTCAAATCACGGAACAATAGTTTAACCTTTTTGCGACTAAGGAACAACCTGTTTAATAATATCTGAAGCAACATATACTGAAGGAAACAAATACGGAAACACAAGTCATCCTCTCGGAATAGTGTTTACTACATACAGCCAAACCTCGTTATCTCGAACCTGTAACTTTGAGATATCCGGAGATTCGAGATAACGAGGCATGAACATCTAAACATCTCAAGCAACAGTATTATTGATACATAACAATACGACTGCAAACACAAGGAATTAAAAGCCCAGCACGTTTATATGATGACAAATTGAAATGTAGTTCGTCGACATGTAATATACTTCATGTCAACAATATTTAAAACGTGAATCTTTGGATATCACGACATTGCCAATTATCTGATGCTATTTTCGGAGTACATGCAACACAAATTCTAGCCGTTCCCTTTTTTCTTACCATCAGTATATGTCATATATGTGTTAACATAGCCAACAACAGTGCATTCTAACTAAATAGTATGAACCGATTGCTAAGTAAAGGTATGATCTGTATGATGTATCTGTGTGATCTGTATGATGTATCTGTATGATCTGTATGATGTATCTGTATGATCTGTATGATGTATCTGTATGATGTATGTGTGATTTGTATGATGTATCTGTATGATGTATTTGTATGATCTGTATGATGTATCTGTATGATCTGTATGATGTATCTGTGTGGTCTGTATGATGTATCTGTATGATCTGTATGATGTATCTGTGTGATCTGTATGATATATCTGTATGATCTGTATGATGTATCTGTGTGATCTGTATGATGTATCTGTATGATCTGTATGATATATCTGTGTGATCTGTATGATGTATCTGTGTGATCTGTATGATGTATCTGTATGATCTGTATGATGTATCTGTATGATCTGTATGATGTATCTGTATGATGTATCTGTGTGATCTGTATGATGTATCTGTATGATCTGTATGATGTATCTGTGTGATCTGTATGATGTATCTGTATGATCTGTATGATGTATCTGTGTGATCTGTATGATGTATCTGTATGATCTGTATGATGTATCTGTATGATCTGTATGATGTATCTGTATGATCTGTATGATGTATCTGTGTGATCTGTATGATATATCTGTATGATGTATCTGTATGATCTGTATGATGTATCTGTGTGATCTGTATGATGTATCTGTGTGATCTGTATGATATATCTGTATGATGTATCTGTATGATCTGTATGATGTATCTGTGTGATCTGTATGATGTATCTGTATGATCTGTATGATGTATATGTATGATCTGTATGATCTGTATGATGTATCTGTAGGATCTGTATGATGTATCTGTATGATCTGTATGATGTATCTGTAGGATCTGTATGATGTATCTGTATGATCTGTATGATGTATCTGTGTGATCTGTATGATGTATCTGTATGATCTGTATGATGTATCTGTGTGATCTGTATGATATATCTGTATGATGTATCTGTATGATCTGTATGATGTATCTGTGTGATCTGTATGATGTATCGGTGTGATCTGTATGATGTATCTGTATGATCTGTATGATGTATCTGTGTGATCTGTATGATGTATCTGTATGATCTGTATGATGTATATGTATGATCTGTATGATCTGTATGATGTATCTGTAGGATCTGTATGATGTATCTGTATGATGTATCTGTATGATCTGTATGATGTATCTGTAGGATCTGTATGATGTATCTGTATGATCTGTATGATGTATCTGTATGATCTGTATGATGTATATGTATGATCTGTATCGATCACGCCATGCAAAAGAAAGTATAAACCCAGAAAAATGGATTTGACAAACAAATTACAAACGTTATCAAAATGTTATCAGGCTGAAAACAGTCGCCAAAAACACTGTAAACTAAGGTCCAAACACAACTTAGAAACCCGTATCAGACACATCACAATCGAATAACCATTTCTTGTTTGTTTCATTTTTAGCCACCATCGAACATGGTGTATACTTTCTTTTGCTCGGCAGTATACTTCAAAGACAAGCCTATAAATTCAGGATGCAGGGAATTATTAACACAAGAATGCGTTTTCAAGCATATTATTCCAATATATTAATGGCACATGTGAGGGACCAATAACGGGGAACACCGTTATGCTTCTGGTGTCCCCTGCATGCTAAAATTACTATAACAACAAAGTTTATGCTCGAGTCCAGTCTACTACGAGTCTCGACATATGCGTTAACGAGCTCAAAAATAACAAAACAAAACCAAACTAACTAATAGTAGACATGTAAATTTAAATATTTAGGGCCTCATGTAAAAACAATTGTAAAATATTTTTAAACAGCTTGTACACCATTGGTAACGAGAGAGGTATTGCAGTTACAGCCAGCTTAACTGTGGTCGATTGTCAGTGAAACTACGGAAGCCTATTGGGGCCACAAAAAAGTTCTATCTTGAGAAAATCAAGTTCTAATCTTGAAAGTTCAAATTCTTATCTTGCAACAGTGTCAGTTCAAAGCAAAAAGCGAAGTCTCAAGAAATCCATTGGCTGAATTATAATGATCTTAAATTTTCAACATACCAGTATCTGAAATTTCCATCTTCATAACTTGAATTTCTAAGATAGTTTTCGATTGTTTTCAAGATTTCAACTTTAATACTCGACTTTCTGTAATAAGTGAGTTACTGACTTTTCAACAAAGCATCTTGAATGTTCAAGATAAAAAAACAACCAATGACATGCCCCTAACGGGCTGCCGTAGTGAACCCTGCGAATGGTGCCGACATACCAAGGATCATAATCGGGACATGCATGTTTTCCAAGCGGATCATGACTGGTATTACATGAACCCATTACCAACTTAGCATAGAGAGTCAGTCGGCGTTTACACGTTACATTAATCTTTAAATGGCGCGATTTCGCCATCGGAATGGAGAGGCCTCAGAATTGTTCAAATCCAATATGACGAGGTTCAAAGATATGACATGGCTGTGGATATTGTGTTTTTAAATTGAACTTTTGTACAAAAAAATTAATAATATGGTTAAGGTACGAAACGGAAAAAAACTATCTGTGAACAATAACAAAAAATAGCAAGTGAGTTAAAATTTAACGTCGCATCGGCATTATTACAGCCATAAAGCGACTATAAATAAATAAATAAATAAATAAATAAATGAATGAATGAATGAATGAATGAATGAATGAATGAATGAATGAATGAATGAATGAATGAATGAATGAATGAATAAATAAATAAATAAATAAATAAATAAATAAATAAATAAATAAATAAATAAATAAATAAATAAATAAATAAATAAATAATTTATTTTTTTTGTATTCATATAAGCAATTTGAGAAAAGAAGTACTGTCTCTGTAATTCTGGCTGCAACGCATTTATCTTGGTCGATCGCCAACATTCCATAAATAAGAAACCTAAGGGAGACAACAATAAACGAACAAAGTGACATGACACTAGTAAAAGGCCTTTCATTGGTCATTGGCTGTTGTCTTGCTACCTAGCAACGACGTGGACATTCCATCCATCTCAAGCATTAGGATCAGGTATCACCATTCTCAGCATCACTGTCGTGGTGGAGGCGGCTTCCTCAGCGCCTTAAACCATTCCATACCATATCCTCGGGGATTGGGACGCTTGTGTCCTAAATCCCTGATAATTTCCTCATCAAGGATTACATTTCAGAAATGCTTTCCAATCACAACTTGATGCGCATGACTAGCACAGTGTCAAAAGAACCAATTCAATCAATCCACACTTCAAGATCAGTAGAAAAAGTCTGAATCCAGCAGGGTGGGAAACATTAACCCTGTTCCATAACCAGTTTTGATCAATTGTGAAAATATATTAATATGTCGAAGTGATATGTATTAATTTGCCAACAAATGACAAATGAACAGTCAGAAACAAGGCCGATAACTCTGTCATCGCTTTCAAGTGGTTACAAACTGTCAAACACGAACAGGGCAAAAATTCGCTCCTCGATTTGTCAATCACCGAGAGACCTATAGACAAAAACAAGACCGGTAACTCTGTCAGCACAATTAAAGCAATTACAAAGAATCCAACACAAACAAGGTTGATAACTCTGTCGGCGCTTTGAAGTGGTTACAAACTATCCAACACGAACAGGGCAAAAATTCGCGCCTTGTTTTGTCAATCACCTGCAGACGTAGTCAAAAACAAGGCCGATAACTCTGTCAGCGCAATTCAAGTTGTAACAAACGTTCCAACACGAACAGGGCAAATATTTGCGCCATGACACAAGTGATCGTGGTTGTGATCCAAACGTTTCCAAAACTTGTGTTAAAAAATATTGTCATCCATTACTCTCAATGGCGGTAGGCGTACAGATATTGTTGAACCTCCTAATTGTTACAGAGGAGGTCATTCTCAGCAAACTCTCTCTGTGTTGCACCGGTGTCTGATTCGGCAGACTCTTCATACTGGCCTTCAAAGTCAAAATCTAGCTCCGCCTCCAACTCAGCCTGTGGAATATGTTCGATCATCACATCTGGTGACTCCACGTCACGTTCCTCCATCCCCGAATCCTCTTCCGGTACGGTGATTAGTCTGCGTTGCGCATCCAGCGGAAGTTGAAGAAACTTCCTCGGTCCAAGGTGGCCATATTGCCTACAATAATAGATATATTGAGGCTTAAAGAAATATTTTGAAATTTGAATCTATTTTAAAGGGTGGCTAGGCTCGGGCACATTTGCAGTCCTGGCAAATTTTATTCAAGTTGTGGGGGAACGGGAGGCCCAGTCGTTCAAGGAGCTACAATTCGTTGTGCGGAGTTGTGTTTCTTGGGCACGCCAGAAACCTATGCGAGTTCGAATCCCAGTGTTTTAGGTTTGTCAGCGTAATACCCATGCTCGTGGGTTTCACCGACGTGATAAACGTCTGGGACATTCATCACTTTCCTCCACATTATCTGACACGCTATAATATATCTGGAAGATTGTTAAAAGCAGCGTTAATTCGTGAGACAATGTCTTCACACAGGGCACTCGCTACAACGCCAAAGCCTTGACAGATACCAGCTAAAGCTCTGAATGGGTGGGTGAGTGAGTTGGGTTTAACGCCGCTTTTAACAGTATTCCAGTTATATCACGGCGTGTCAGCTTAACGTGGGAGGAAAGCCCGAAGTAATGCAGGTGATGTAGGTCTTTACCACCTCGGTGAAACCCACGAGCACGGGTATGGTGCTGACAAACCTAGAAAGATAACTGGAGCGAACCGGGATTCGAACCACAATCATAGATTTCTGGCGTGCCCTAGGGACGCAATTCTGCATATCGCGGCGCCTTAGATGACTGGGCCACACAAGTTTTGTATGGAGCGACTCAATTGTATAAGGGCTACTCATCACCAATAAAGTGCGTGGGTGGGGGATGGGGGGTGGGGTGGGATGGGGTGGGGTGGGGTGGGGTGGGGGGCATCTGTTGTCTGTGGGAGTGGATCGTTGCTCATAATATCAATCACTGTTTTGTCTGGTTCGGACTCGATTATGAAGTGGTCATATACTAGAATATTGCTCCACGCGGCAAAAAGGGAGACTACATAACAAAACAAAACGAAACATGCAAGTACTGCGGTGAAACCTCGTTAACCCTACATGTCTTGGAACTTTATATATAAATATCTTTAGCTACCAGTACTTCGAGACAAGCGGAGCGTCAACATGAGATAATAGTGCTGATGGGAATTCTGTCATCATAAACCTATATGTCATAAACGATTAATAGAATCAAGGAATTCGTGTTGACGATGGCTCGCTGGGTTTTTTTTGGTGTTGTTTCGTGAAAAATATTTAGTCCCTCGCACAAAAGTATTAATACAGGTAGCACGTTTCCCAAGAAAATTATACACGTGTTACAGAGAAGGAAAGAAACCTCAAGAATTTAACAGAAGCCGTATTTCGAAAGCCGAAAAGTTTCCGCCTTAACCACTCCAGGGTAAGCACCACAGGAACTCGTTATTGGTCAGTAAATAAAAATATATACCCCCTATATGTAAGTTGAGAAAAGGAGCGTCACTCGCCATCTTGCCTGTTTGTTTACATTCGATATCCATGGCGTTTTTTTTTATTATAATCTTATTGACAAGCGCATTTCTGGCCGTAGATTGATCGATAATACATTTCTACACATGTACAAGTCATCTACATTCGAACAATGTCCCTTACTTACCGAAATATCGACAGTTTTTTTCGCGACCTTGGAAAATGTTACCAACCCCGAGCGGAAGTAAATTTCAAACGCGGGCAGAATCGAGCGAGCCACCTGATTGGCTGACCTACTTAAGTCAAGACAGCGTGAAAACAACAACACATGTGCAACCAGCTTTGACTGAAGAACAAGTGTTTGCATGGAATTTGATCAAAGATGGACACAACACTATAATCTGGCGAGGCTGGCACAGGAAAAACGGTTCTTATCAAGGAAATTACGGAGAGACTGAAGAGAAATGGAATCTACAGTTCTGACATGTTACTGTTGACTTTAAACAATTCAAAGATAATACTTTCAAACAGTTAGCAGAGTATGCAATGGGTTCCTTCTCAAAATTTACCTGAAGAACAATATTTTCTTTCTCATCTGATATTCTATTAGGAGATATGCCCTGACAGTATCTTGTCATATTCAGTGTCGAAAAGAATGAGTTACGTTTTTTTGTAGTCGTAATGTATAGACTGAATACCAAAAGTGTCATTTATTACTGTACCACTGACGGAAAGATGTACATGCCCATCAGTAGAAAATCTCACTTGTAAATATATCATGTTCCCATTACAGGATAATCCTGTCTGCCTTCCAACAGTTATAGAGTATGCAGTACAAAATAGCCTTTTGGAATGTTATCAGATATTGCAGCAAATTCAATGTTTTGTGTCTGTTCAGATCTCACATTGATGCCACGGTAAACCGTGATGTTTTTTGTCCAATCACCAGGTTTTCGGTGCCTGGTTGTGGTGATATTTGGAAAAGCATTTTTTATATATTTTCCGACAAACACTTTTGATCTGTGACCAAAGTTGTCACAAAATTTTTGGAAAATCTCTTCAACTGGTATAGGACTTTTGCTATCTTCAACATACTTTTCATGTATAAGAATGTTTCAAGAACTTTACATAACTGAAAATTGAATTATTGTAACATCGCAATATAGCTGCCATTGGTAAAAATTCAGAATTTCATATATTATAATGGCACATCATGAGATTTGGGTGTGTTTGTGATATTCATATTATCATGTAATGTTGTAATTTACTTATTATTCTCAAATAGATTTATTACTTTGCATTCATGATAAATATTAACTTGAAATGTTCACTTTATTCATTTTCAATCTGCATGACCAGTATTCATAATGTAATCAGGCACAGGCAATATACATGAAAATGTGCCTATTATATTAATATAGTGATGTATAGTTTAAAATTCACCAGCTAATAATAGATTAGCTTTAGATGACAAGTATATTATAAAATGAAAAACATATTCATAATAAATATTTACCATTTGAAGAAATTATCTGATGTCATTTTTTAGATTCTGCTGTCGCTCCAGATAACTGTCTTCAAATTTCGCACTAATTTCTTTAATTAGAGGCTGCGTATTTTCAGCCAATCAGGTGGCTCGCTCGATTCTGCCCGCGTTTGAAATTTACTTCCGCTCGGGGTTGGTAACATTTTCCCAGGTCGCGAAATAAACCGTCGATATTTCGGTAAGTAAGGGACATTGTTCGAATGTAGATGAATTGTACATGTGTAGAAATGTATTATCGATCAATCTACGGCCAGAAATGCGCTTGTCAATAAGATTATAATAAAAAAAATCGCCGTGGATATCGAATGTAAACAAACAGGCAAGATGGCGAGTGACGCTCCCTTTCTCTACTTACATATAGGGGGTATATCTTTTTATTTACTGACCAATAACGAGTTCCTGTGGTAAGCACTCGATGCAAACAGAAAATGAACAGAAACAGAAAATGATTATTCAGTCAGGGCCACGTGTATCCGGTAACCCTGCTACTTTAAGGATTCTGTTGGGAGCGTCTTCATATTCGTGAAGCTTTGTACTCTAACAATATTTAGTTAATCCGGACATTTGGGAATATTTGAAGCGGTACTGTATGGATGAACGGGGTTCACTGCACGCACACCTGGCCACTTACAGCATGTTCGCCCTGTCACGTGGGTCCATCCGGGGCTCTAGACTTCTGAGTTCCGGTTGAACCTCCATTGCTGTCGTGAGAGGCTTGCCGAGCTCGGAGTACTCGATGTGGTGCTCCCCGTCCGGCGTCATCGCATCACTTGAACGAACGAATGAATGAATGAATGAATGGATGAATGACGGGCGATAATGTAAACACATCATAAAAAGAACACAATCACACAGTTATTCAGACAAGTAAGAGAATGAATGGTTTTTAATGCCGCACCCAGGACTATATATCACGCAAGCATCTCATCGACCGTCTATTTTATAATCTTCGCTAAGGAGGAACCTTTTCTTCAACATAAAACTGTAGGCCAAGGATCATAAGCGCGAGTCTTGGCGTCGAACCCATGACCAGCGGATCTTAAACGGAATTCGACTTAACGAGAATTTAATGAAAACATAAGTTATCATTTTCATTTAAAGTCGTTTCTTTAATAGCGGGCCGCTTACGTGGATAGAGCGTTTGCCCGAATACCGTAAGGTCGGGGATTCGATCCCCGGCCGCGTCATACCAAAAGACGTTAAAGGATGATACGTCTTGTTACCCTGTCTGGCGCTCGGTATTGAGAGGCTAAAGCAAGGCCTGCACACACACACACACACACACACACACACACACACACGTCGCTATAAAAGGGCAATAACCTTGAACGCGACGTTAACCCCATCTCACCTCGTCAACAGCGGCACGCTTTGTGTTCCTTGAAGTTGTATGTACACTTTTGAGAAAATATTTACTTGCTCCGTCAATTCATAAATTTCTATAAGTGTTATTGGGAAGCCTATGTACGTCATGGTAACAGCATAATGCAATATGTCGCAATATACACGTAGTTTACGTATTTGACTAAACACAGCGTTTCGTTTGATAACACGAAAGTTGCAAAGAAAACATGTTGGCAAAACCACAATGACATTCAAACATTCTAATTTTCCAAAATGAAAAAAAAAAGAGCGATGTGCCATAAAAACGAATAACCTTCCTTTGAAAGGACGAGCGGTTATTTTTATACCTTCGTGGTTTCTGGCGATATTAAATCAAATTAGGGCCTCAAAGCTACTCTTTCTATTTTTTTTCGTTTCCTATTTTATTTTCATATACGGCATTTAACATCATTACACATCAAAAGGTTATTTCACCAGTGCATGATTAAGCGTAAGCAGCATTGGAAATAGGTGTCTATTGGAAAACCTCCCCAGATCCAGGTGCCATTAATCGAAATTAAGTGTCGCTGTTCGCTGTAAAAATATGAAGGTTATCAGCCCAATTATGGCTTCTTGTTAGGGTAATATGCTTCAAGGATAAATGCACCTGCGAAGCCTTCTATTGACAGATGTCTTAGGACCAAGGTATCCCTTGAGCCATGTTGGTAATCAGTGCATCACATGTTCCGTAGTAGTTAAGGCCAATCACATGTTTGCAAATCAGTCCATTAAAGTGAGTGAGTAAATATTGCTTTCAGCCGCATCAGCAGTACTGCAGCGTTTCGCGGCTAGGTGTATCAGAATAAGAATTAAGGGATGTTTGTTTGTTTGTTTCTTTCTTTTGTTTAACGCTGCACTCAGCAATATTTCAGCTATATGACGGCGGTCTGTGAATACTCAAATCTGGACCAGACAATCCAGTGATTAATATCATGAGCATCGATCCACGCAATTGGGATACGATGACATGCATCAACCAAGTCAGCGAGCCTGACCACCTGATCCCGTTGGTCGCCTTTTACGACAAGCATGGTTGTTTTTACGGGATGCATGGGTTGCTGAAGAACTATTCTACCCCGGATCTTCATTTAAGGGATGTATGTCGGTATGCCCTTTCACAATTAGGTTTGACATAACTGAAATAAGTAGGCGCTTCTTGTTAAATTAATTGGTTAACGGACCTGCCGAACATAATTTCAGGAATGTGGAATAAAATTGGAATTTAAGGACAATGTTTTTTTGTCCGCAGAGTTGATTTATAATTTCACGAAATAAGAACTTTCAAGAGAAGGATATACGAGGGGAAGTTAAAATATCGGTTTAATGGAGAGCGACTGAAAAAAGGTGTCCATGTATTTCATTAAGTGACATGGTCAGTACCTGGGTTTGTATGCATTAGATTCCTCCGTCATCCGTGTATGCAAACTATTGTTTTGCAGTGTTGTCGCTAGTTTTAACCAACGAATCAAACCAGGGTCTGGTTTCAGCGAAAGGGAAAGCACCGAGAGACCTATACCCGTTCGGCCGATGTTCCTAGAACCACAGGTAGTCAGTATGAGAGACTTAAAGGACGTACCTGCATACGTAATTATACGGTAACACATTCAGACCCGCCCCACAGACACAACGATACATGCAGACACATGGTTTAATTACCTCTTTTTTCGGCGTCTGAACACCAAGATGACGATGATGAGGGCAATGGTTGCCAGTAGCAACGCACACAACACCAAAGTGATGATGACGATAAAGAAAGGAATCCCGGCTGAAAGAAGAGAGAAAACGTCTCAGTGAAAATGCAGTTTGTTTATATGAACTCCATAACTTACAATCAGCACGGTCACAAACAAGATGTACTGTTTGTTTGTTTGTTTGTTGTTTAACGCCGCAGTTTAATCAACAGTACTGCAGCGTTTCGCGGCTGGGTGTATCAGAGTAAGAATTAAGGGATGTTTGTTTGTTTAACGTCGCACTCAGCAATATTCCAGTTATATGACGGCGTTCTGTCAATAATCAAGTCTGGACTAGACAATCAAGTCATTGACATCATGATCATCGATCCACGCAATTGGGATACGATGACATGCATCAACCAAGTCAGCGTGCCTGACTACCCGATCCCGTTAGTCGCCTCTTACGACAAGCATAGTCGCCTTTTACGGCAAGTATGGGTTGCCGAGGACCTATTCTACCCCGGATCTTCACGGTTATCAAGATGTACTGAGGACCAAGAGATAACCACTTGCTTGCGTGTTAGTATCTACACCAAACCGTCGCAGTCATAGTGTTAAAGACGTTGTATATCCATGTAACTATATCCCTTGTTCAGTGTGTTAGTTGTAGGGTAAAACTCGTCACCACTATGTCAATCTCATGCTGGGTGGAGTTGTGTCCTTTACCCGTGTCAGGATCCGCTGGTCATGGGTTCAAATCCAGATTCTGCCCGATAATGAGAATTTAGGAGACCAAACTCTAGCTCATGGATTTCACCAAAGTCTACAAAAAGAGTTTAAGAATTTCTTCCTCATTATCCTTCCGGACCGGCAGAATAGGCATACACTCTCTTAAGGTAACATAACTCTCTTATATTAGCCAGGGAGCGGCCTAGTGTTTAAAGCGTTCGCTCGTCACGCCGAAGACCCGGGTTCGATTCCCCACATGGGAACAATGTGTGAAGCCCATTTCTGGTGTCCCCGTAGTGATATTGCTGGAATATTGCTAAAAGCGGCGTAAAACCATACTCACCAAATCACTCTGATTAGCCCAAATGCCTCGCCATTTAGTGACGCGGATGAATATATTAACCATACCAAAGCAGATGAGAATGCAATATGAATGCACACTGACCGACAAATCAAATGTAGTCACATCACGAGACAAGTTATAGCGTGGGGTGGTGATCATGAGTATTGGGATCTACTCTAACAAGGGGGGTGGTGGGGTGGCCTAGTGGTTAAAGCATTCGCTCGTCACCCCGGAAGGTCTGTGTTCGTTTCCCAACAGGTACAATAGGATGCCCATGCCTGATGTACCCCTTCGTGATATTGCTGGAATATTGCTAAAAGCTGCGTAAAACCAAACTCACTCCCTCTAACAAGGATACCCACTGGGGTTACTTAATGCGCTAAACCCAGCTCACTCACTCATTCACTCATCGAGAGCCTCTAAACCGTTTCAAATATGTTCAATACAATTCCTTATCGAGATTGTGGCCTTGAGTTCCAATTGACATTTACATGAAATGGTTTCAATATCACGATGCATCATTCAAAAACATCGAGGGGTTCGCTCGTCACGCCGAAGACCCGGGTTCCATTCCCGACATGAGTACAATGTGAAGCCAATTTCTTGTGTCACCCGCCGTGATATTGCAGGAATATTGGAATATACTCACTGACTCACTCGAAAACATCGCCAAGAGAGAGATTGGAATTACACACTAACAGCATATCTCATCAAAGTCTCGAAAGCGCCATGCAATCAGAAGCGTCATTCGTTTGTGACATTTTCGAAAACAGTTGATTGATTTTGTTTCAGAAATTTGACGATAAAGACCAGCTGTCTTTGATGAAAATGTTTGTGAAGTATCCTAATGGAAGCAAGTCTAGGAGGATCTTCCCTCAGTACTCAGAAACTCATTATCCTGTTTAATTGGCTTCATGTCCCATTGGCTTCCACCATGTGTTCTCTGTCCATCGTGTTGTGACAGTATTATCCTTCTGTTGTCATCACTTGTTGTTACTGTTAATCTCCACCACTATATATATTCTGTACAATGTCCCTCTTTCAGCCTTGCTTGACAACGGTATAAGGATGTATACCGAAAGTACAGTATTAAAGAAGTTGTTATCCATAAATCGTGTCTACCTTGTCATCCGTCGACCTCTAAGTAATGCCTATCAAACGATTCAGTAACATCAGGCGATTCGCTGTGCAGAGTTGCGTCCCTTGGGCACGCCAGAAACCTATGATTGTGGGTTCGAATCCCGGTTCGCCCCGATTATGTTTCTAGGTTTGTCAGCATCATACCCGTACTCGTGGGTTTCACCGAAGTGGTAAACGTCTAAGACCTGCATCACTTCGGGCTTTCCTCCCATATTAAGCTGACACGCCGCGATATAACTGGAATACTGTTAAAAGCGGCGTTAAACCCAACTCACTCACTCACTCACTCAGTAACATCAAGCTGGCATGCCGTGATAGTGAAATGTTGTTCAAGGCGGAATCAAATAAAGTCCAACTTATTCACTTTAATCTACATGTGACATGAAACAGTTAGAATTTCGAATTAGAATCCCCTTAGAATTGGGGATAAACTGTACACCAACCTGCTCATTTGCCTCAGTGAGAATACTGTTGTTTTTCTGTAATCCTACAGCCTAAATCGTACGAAGTGATTAATATGTCCACTCACTCATTGAAATATATTTTAAACGTTTTCACTCAGTACAGTGTACGTGAATAGAGTTCACCAATTAGTCGTGTCGTTATATTTTGTGATTTATTGACCAATTAGCTGTGTCATATGTGAAATGGCACCCTACCCAACCCACATAACCCATTTAGCATTTGTGTCAATTTTGGTCAAGTATGCGGTGAAGTATTAAAATTTGCCAAGTTGCTATGTTGACTTTACTTGCCCTTTAAGGCTGTTTCAATTGCACTTCTTGTCGCTTGTCAACGAAACCATTTTTTACACATTCATAAGTGTTCGATGGTTCAGCAGTAGTAGCAAGCCATAGCTCTAAGCCAATCTCATTAAATTCAGATCTTCGCTCTCGCTACCGCTCAGCTAAAGATCTGAGGACATTCCATTTCGGTCAGAACGACCTTTCGCGAACTTAGAACGACCAATCAGAGCCAGCGTGAGGTGAGGTGAGGTGAGGTGAGGTGAGGTGAGGTGAGGTGAGGTGAGGTGAGGTGTTTTTTTCCGATCTGACATCCTAATTCAAAGTTAACTTTCTATGAAATAAAGTATACCTATCTGGAGGAAAGAGATATCTGTCTATAGACTTTAAAAAACCCGAGAAGACCCGTAGCCTCCACAAGCCTCCATTAGTTACATATAGCCAAACTTATCTTAAAAGAGGGGGCACGGGTGGCCCAGTCGTCTAAGGCGCCGCGATTCGCTGTGCAGAGTTGCGTCCCTTGGGCACGCCAGAAACCTATGATTGTGGTTTCGAATCCCGGTACGCCCCGATTATGTTTTTAGGTTTGTCAGCACCATACCCGTGCTCGTGGGTTTCACCGAAGTGGAAAACGTCTCAGACCTGCATCCCTTCGGGCTTTCCTCCCACATTAAGCTGACACGCCGCGATATAACTGGAATACTGTTAAAAGCGGCGTTAAACCCAACTCACTCACTATCTTAAAAGACGCACGAATGAAGGACACGCTAACCGAAGCTTCAACGACCCGACATCCCCAGTGAACTATGAAGACAGCAACAAAACGTCACACGCTACACGTCGAAAACAACCAGCTGTTAAATCTATATCTACCGACTATCTGACAGCATCCTTATTATATTGTACAAGCTAGGTGATTTACCCGTCATGGCATCTGACATCGTACAAAACAGGCATTCATCAGACAATACCGAACAGCGGGAAGCTTATAGACATTGATGTGAGATGTGGCTGACGTTTCTGCGGCTTCGGGGACGTTGTAATCACTGTCACAAATGCCACATCAAACAACGACCATCTTCTCCTGACGTCATTACATAGCACAAAAATACTGGCACCGATATTCAAAACTCTTGACCGCACTCTCTTCCTCCAGGTGCATGTACTAATACCACTTGTAGGGCGCGTATCAGTAAAGTAGGCGAATGCCTTGTAACGCGGTAAGGAGCTTCTCGATACAGTACTTAGTTTATAATTAGTCACAGTAGTGTGTCCTATAATAGGACTTCTTGAACTAATTTGATATAAAAATATATAAAAAATCTTTTGAAATATTTTCGGTGTGAAATATGGATCTTGTACGTGAATCCGTCTTTTTCAAAGAGTGATTAAACAATTTGGGAAACGGGCCTTGATCAAAATGTGTTTCTTCAAATGATGATAAAAAGGGGAAAGGGGGTTGATGAAAATGTGTTTCTTCAAATGATGATAAAAAATGGGGAAAGGGGGTTGGTGAAAATGTGTTTCTTCAAATGATGATAAAAAATGGGCAAAGGGGGTTGGTGAAAATGTGTTTCTTCAAATGATGATAAAAAATGGGGAAAGGGGGTTGGTGAAAATGTGTTTCTTCAAATGATGATAAAAAGGGGAAAGGGGGTTGATGAAAATGTGTTTCTTCAAATGATGATAAAAAATGGGGAAAGGGGGTTGGTGAAAATGTGTTTCTTCAAATGATGATAAAAAATGGGGAAAGGGGGTTGGTGAAAATGTGTTTCTTCAAATGATGATAAAATGGGGAAAGGGGGTTGGTGAAAATGTGTTTCTTCAAATGATGATAAAAAATGGGGAACGGGCCTTGATCAAAATGTGTTTCTTCAAATGATGATAAAATGGGGAAAGGGGGTTGGTGAAAATGTGTTTCTTCAAATGATGATAAAAAATGGGGAACAGGCCTTGATCAAAATGTGTTTCTTCAAATGATGATAAAAAGGGGAAAGGGGATTGATCAAAATGTGTTTCTTCAAATGATGATAAAATGGGGAACGGGCCTTGATCAAAATGTGTTTCTTCAAATGATGATAAAAAGGGGAAAGGGGATTGATCAAAATGTGTTTCTTCAAATGATGATAAAAAGGGG